CCAGCTACATTAAAACCCATTATGAGATGAGGAATTGCCACATAGCGAGGGGATGCATCTCAAGTTGAGCTGCTTGAGACAGGCATAGCTTGGAAGTCACATTTCAATAACCCATGTCCTGGAGCTGGGCACTCTCTAAGGTTTAAAAATCATGCTTTATGGGATGAAGCTGAATCTAAATTTCTACTATCCCATGCAAATACTGTAGTCAATTAACAACAGACAAGAACCTAAAAATCACTCAGAACAGGCTTGTAGCTGAACAGGACATACACAAGTAGCTTTTCCCAGCCTTGCTTTAGGCTCAGACATATCAGTGTCAAGGGCAGCTCTAACTGCTGCCAACAAGATGCTACTCAAATTCTGAACACATAGTGAATGCACACTGCTGGCTGCAAACAAGCATTCGGCAAAGACCAGAAGAACCTGCTGTTATATTGACATATAAGATTTAATCTGTAACGGCCTTAAAATCAAGTCTTCAAATTCACATTTCACTGCAGATCTACCTGAATGTGCTGTGTAAGAGAATAGGCAGATATGTTAGAGAAACTTAATGGATCTTAACTTCCTCAGGGTACAAAAAGGACAATTAAACTGAAATGTCTCAGGACAAGATATCAAAGCATTTGAACAACTCAGGACGTGTTTTTAGGGGTGAAAAAAATGTCTACTAGTTGCTTATGAACTTGGCCCCAACTACAGAATCTCTGTTAGCAACTCTCTCACAAAGCATTTAGCAAATCCGTTCCAAAAATACTCTCCTCATTAGGCCATAAAGCAAGGAGCAGGACTGCAAGCTGGACATCCAAATCAATTATTTGCTCTTTCACACTAGATTAAACGTTGAGTAACCACCACCTTCGGTGGAGTTACAATTAAGTCAGAAATGAGGACTGAACTTAGCATGAGACTTCCATTAACTCTTACTTGTAACAGGAGGAGATATCTTCTGATATATTTGGAGAGTACTAAGACTGCAAACAAACTACTTTTGCAAGTCAGAAAAGGATTATGGCCAATGTCGCGGTATTTAACAAAGAATAGATGCTCTTTGCTGTGCCTCAGTTGTTTACTGACTGAAATTTTCTCTTAAAAGCATTTACCTTTGTATAAGCTACTGCCCCCAAGCTTGCTATTCAAGCATCCTTCAACATGAAGACAAGCCTTAACAACATTCAAAACTTACCTGGGACCTCACAAACAGCAGTCGGCAGCACTAGAGATCCCACATGTGGAGGAAACAGCTGGAGTTCCGACTTCTTCATGAGACAGCTGGAGATTTCACAATAAAAGTCAAAGCAGCTTTCCATCCCAAGTTTTTCCTGTTCCAGCTGCATGTTGTAGATCCCTGGGGAATGCACTGGCTGAGGTATTCCTGGTAGCATGGTTTCATAAAACAATGTATATATCTGGTTTGTTTCTTACTGGCATGGGACTAAATCACATGCTGAGCTTTACTTTGGCTAATAACATAAGGAGTAAAATCATACACAGGAGATTTAATATGCCAGTGATAGAGGAAAAGAACAAACTTTAGCCTTTCAATACTATTCTAGTTTCAAAGAACAATATAAAACCTTTGACATGGTGGTAGCCCCAACTAAAGCTGAGGGGAAGAGACTAGAGCAAAGAGAATTTAATCTAAATGCTTCAGCCAAAGCTGTTTGGGGTAAGACAAGGCAGAGCCTGTTCTTTGCTCATTTTCATCAACTCCATTACTTTTGCTTTCAAAGGAACGAAGGTTTTGTGATACACTATAGTAAAAAAACAAAAACAAAAACCTGCTTTGCCATATAAAATAACTATGCTTCCTTACTGCACACTTATACCAATATATATGGGAAGATTGGACATTCTAAACAGGTCAGTTGTCAACAGCTTTTAAATCAGGGTTTTTTTCAAGTAGCATTAGTCACTAATTATTTTAAACTTAACAAGTGAACACTCAGACAGGAAATACCATACATAAACAGGAACAAAGTCTTTTAACACAGCACTCAGTAAATACACCAGTCGAAGACTGGCCAATCTGTTAGTAACCATCATCAACAGTTCTAAACACAACTGTTGCTTGTACAGTGTATGTACTCCCAGTGATGTTAGTGCACTTTGCTACTGAGCAATGAAAACAACTTTCTTCCCCTACTACCCTTCAGTAGTTATGTCTTTAAATCTAGTCTCCTTCCTCTCCAAATTTTTATGGTCCAAAACCTTACTGAAACTTTTGGTTGCACATTACTTATGACTGAAAAGAAATGCTACCAGTTCCTATTTGTGTGCGAGGAATATGCACATACCTCCCACTTACTCTACTTTTATTAGCAGTACAATAGTCACTAAATAGATTCAACTGCAAAATACGACCCCCAAATTTGGTCCATATTTGAATCTTAGTACATGAACTTGAGGAGAGGTGAACCTTTCAGAACCCTGAAGTGGCTGCATTGGAATCTCAGCAAGGAAACCCCACCTACTCATAGCAAAGGACCAGTTTGTTCTCCCTTCTGAAGTCTGGCTCTAGAGTGACTTTTATGCCCAGATTTACTGGTAAAAATCACATTACAATTTATGAGACATCTGAACTCCTATTTGCAGGGGCAAATTTGAGTACCAAACACATTCCCAGAATCATGTGCATTGGAGAAGGGAAAAGGGAGTTGAAGAGACAAACATTGCGAGGAAAATGTGTAAAGTGATATTATGTTATTAAAGCATTACATTAGAAACCAACAGAACAAAAAAAAAAGTTTTTAACCAAGTTTGACTTTGTTTTTTCTTTTTTGTTTTTAAATTCAAACTGACCCAAAGCAAAAACTTACATTGCAAAGGAAGAACAAAATACAGTGTGATACTGGTAACGCAGTGCTGCATGGAAGCTAGACTTGTGGCCAGGTCGCAAGTTGCTCTTGTCACAATGTCACTGGGGCCTCTTGACAGATTTAACTGAGAAGGTTAGGATTCAATTTTTCCACCTAGCCCAGGTCCACCCTGGTAAACAAGCTATATATTCTCTTTTGCCTTGGGGTATTTATCCAATGAGTTTGTCCAGATGAGTTCTTCAATGATTGCCAACTAAGAGCCAGAAAACTGACTTTTTCCACACTATCCCAAGGAAGCCAGAGTTATCCAAGCATTAGTGATAATGAATTTGAAAAACAAACAAACCCCAAACAAAACAACAAAAAGAAAACCACTCAAGAGTTGTTCAAACTAACAAGTATTGTCTATAATGTAAATAGTTTAGAAATATGGTAATTAAATAATCTAAAAAACACTCTTACTCTGCTGTACATTTATAAACATAAATATTTACAAAAACTTTCTGCTTTGTTTTAAAGGATGAGGTTTGCAGTTTGTTAGTGATCAGTCTTTTACTCATATTGATTCTTTGGTGTATTTGCCAATTTTTTAAGGTTTAATACAAAGTGTTCAACTGTGAATTTTAAGGTAATGGAACCAAGCTACATAACGAGTCTATATTATGCACTTCTCCTTCCACATTCTAGTCCGAATGAAAAGCAATGTTCAGTGTGTTCTTTGAAGTATTTGTGCACAATATTTAACAGAATAAAAGACCAAATTCCCCATTATTGAACTTTGGAGAGGATTATCAATGAATAATCACACTTCACTCGCACCTGAGCACATGTAGAACTTCAGATAGTGAATAGGACTATCAGAAGGTTCAGACACACACAAGTGCTGCCGTGCTTTGTGGAATCAAGGTCAGAGAAACCAGCTGCGAGAGATGGCTTAGCATTGTAAGAAAGGGCGAGGGCTTCCCTCCACCTTGGGGAGGGAGAAGAGGATGAAAATTAATTTAAAAGAAAGGCTTTTTACTGGCCTGAAATGTATGTGTGTTCCCTTTAGATGTCAATTACTTAAAAGAAATAACCAAAAAACAAACCTCAAACAATAAATAATGGAATTACACATTTCTTCATTAAATAGCATTCTTGTTACCAACAAAGTCTTCCATAATTTTCTTCAGTCACAGCAACAGACAAAACAAATAATTTGCCTTAATATAGATTGCAACTAAAATATACTCTAGATTACCTTAGAAAATATTACTGTAAAAATTCAGTGGGGAAGGACACTGGTTTGGACCAACTTACAAATGTAGTGAACAATACTGATTTCTTTAAGAACAAAGCAATTTTAAGGTTCTGATCTCATGTCACAAAACTGAAAATTCATGCTTAAAACCTGCCAGTCAATTCTCGATGTCTGTGCTGTCTCAGTACTGGAGAGCTTAAAGACCATAACCTGTTCTTCCTTCAGTGGGAGCCAATAGATATCATCACACACCCACTCTCACACGCACCCATGCTCTCAGGTTGTCCCTCCTACAATGCCACCACCATTACTTACAATGTGGAAGAAGCACTATGAAGCTCTACTGCCTAGAGGTGACCACCACACACACTGCATGGTGTTAAGGCTGGACATCCTTCCTTGCTCCTGCTGCCGAGACATGACTTTTGGTCACTGCTCAAGCAGGCTGGACTTGAACCAATACAAGTTGGTGATAAAAAGGTTCAACATCCCATTACCAATCCTCTGAGCCATGAAACTCAGGGATCACTTATTGTTTGGAAACCTGATGTGATGCCAGGCACAACAGGGAGAGATAATCCTCCTTGCCTGCCATAGTTCTGGTGCATCCACTAGCAGCGGTAAGGTTTGTGCTCAAGGAACTGCAGTCCAGGGTTATAAGATATTAAAAGGAACTAGCACTGTTAAATAATATGAGTATTCCTGCTTCACCTTGCTTTTCATATTTTTAATATTAAATATTTTGAAAGTGACAGTGTTAAACTGAAAAGCCACCACCGTTCCTTTCATCTCCCCACTTCCATTAGCATAACTGGTACGAAAGCACTCCTGATACTAGAGAGGCTCTTTTGGAGCAAAACACAAGTAAAGGACACTGGCAAGAACCTTACGATGACTCTGTAATCCCTTGGAAATAAAGAGAGTGAAACAACTGCACATTTTGGCCCCATCCTTTTTTGAAAGCAAGAAATTCTTCTTTTAATAATCAGAAACAAAACTCTTTAACAGATTATTTTTATACCTCGTATATAAACCACATTCAGTAGCCAAATTTCAGTGTTCCTTTCATTTGCTGCTTTCAGATTAAATGCAAAGTTTAAACTTTCAATATGAATGGGCCTTTTCTTGTTCATGCACATTTAGAATGCATCTTCATTACTTATGTGCACTTCCCACTCTCTAACCTGAAGCAAACTGAATTTCAGAGCAGTCAAAAAAAATCCATCACTGCTTTTGGTACAAAAGGGTTTGGCCAATTTCTTTCCTTTCTTTTTTTTTTTGAGTGGACCCAATTTGACTGAGAACCCGTAGATAAAATTTCAACTGAAAGTGAAATAAAGCAGGTTATACATTCATGAAATTTCGGGAGTAATAATGAACAGCAACTGATGCATCACTCTTGTAATGTCACGTCAACACTACAGCAAGGCAGCAGTTCCTATTCTCACAAATAATGCACTGAGACTAAATGAGGAATAGTGGGGAGGAGGAAATCACACACAAAGGGAAAATACATCAGAAAGATTATTGCACAGGAGGCACTGTATGAGAAACAGAATACATTGGCTTCAAAAAAATCTAAATTTGTTTACTTTTAAGTTAATGTAAAAAAACGCTGAGGCTGTGCCTCTTTGTAGTGTACTGTCACTGTTAAAAATAGACTTACAAACAGCCGCCCATTTAACCGGGAATGTCAGGAAAGAAGAGGGCCTGAATTTTATGGGCATCCCAACCAACTACAGTGATCAGGAAAAGAATAATATAAAAAGAGCCAATGTATAGACCCTCAATTGATTAGGGTAACCGCATTTTTCCTTTAATTTCCAAATCATACTCGTACAGTACCCTAGGACGTGTTGATTATCAGCTCTTCCCTCTGTCCTGCAAAGATGCATACCCTGGCAGAGACAGGACTCCAAACAAACAACAGGGCTCTGAAGGTCTTTCTATTGGTATCCTTCTGCAGGACCGGTGCCTTGATTTCCAAACTTTGTTTGCTTGAATAATTGCTCAGCATGCCAATTCAAACCAACCACTTCCCTTGAGAGGCTTCCTTCCATCTCCACTGCAAGTCTGCACACTTAATGTGAAAACAAACAAACAAAAAAGAAACCCAACAGCAATCTTTAAAATGTAATATTGTATAGAAAGCTTGGACCTTGTAAACTTGGACCAAGAAACCAAAAATTAAGACCTTCTAGCGTGTGGTATAAAAAACCCAAGGAAGTGTATACCTGCCTTCTGACTTCACAGAAAAATCAGAATTTGCATAGGATATACTTTGTGCAAGGCAACAAGCCTCTTCAGTATCTGGAATATAACTAATCTTGCTCAGAGTTCTTCTCTTCATGGATATCAGATATCATCAAATTTGTGTTTTAAGTAGTCTTTCATGACCTTGGCAATGGGTAGTTCATCAAGTAGTTTTAGGTTTTGAAGGCCTATACACTGACGGATTTTAATTCGGCATAGATCTTGCAAGTTCCTGGGCTGTCCTGAAAAGACAAAAGGAACACACAAAAGTAAAATGATCACACTTTAAACATACCTTAAGAGATCATTTACTCAGTAAAATCACAGATGTTTACTGTTTTCTAAGAGGCAAAGGGAAGGGAAAAGTTACAAGAGAAAAAGGGTGGAAGTTAATACCTTCCTAATGAACAATAACTCAATGAAATCCAGGTATGAATCCTAAAAACATTTTTACATGCACGTAATTTTACTGATGCCAATGTAGAGTGACATGATCCACGTGAGGATTCCCATGACGTGGCAAAATATGCTTTAGCACTGTAGAAAACACCGTAACTCCTCCATTTAACTTTTGTAGCCTTTTTCCTACCCCTCTTGTAACCTGGGGGCGAAAAACCGTCAGTCTCAATCCTTTTCAAACATTAAGACAAAAACTTCTATGCTCAAGTGTAACAGGACTAAGCAGCTTCCTTAGAGACTGAGGCTTTATAAAAGTTATTCCAGGATCGCGTGGCAGAGTCAAAGATTGTTTTTTCCCCTTCTAATGAGAAGACAAAGCCTTTAGGCTTTGGATGCAGCCACAACTTCATCAAACAGAAAGAAATGAAAATCTGAGTTAACCACTGTCCAGAGAGGAAAAGCTTTACTGACAGCACACGAACTTCAGAATTTCTGGTAAGGATTTGCCAAAATAATCAGTTATTTTTTCAAACTCATTCTTAACAGGAAACTCTTCAAACTCAAGCACCTGGAAAAACTGTTCCCCCCATGCAAAATAACCTAAGAAAGGATAATCTGCATCTGAATGTAGCCAGCAATGGATCCCAATGAAGAAAGAAAAAATAAAGAGCAAAGCAACAGACATTGAGAAATCCTGTCCCAATTTACCCTTCCAGCTTTCAGCACCGGGGCCTTTGGGCCTTCCTACACCAGAGACTGCACACAGATCCATGCCTTTAATAGCTGTGAATGGCCTGTCCTCTGTAAATCTGTCTTAGGCTTTTTGAACCCATTCATACTTTCAGTATCCAAAACATCCTGTGGCAACAAATTTCACAATATAATTAGGCGTTGGCTGGAAAACTACAAAGTGCTTTTATTTATTTGAGATCTGCTTCCTGATGGGCTCGTTGCATGCCTACCATTCTTGGAGTTGTAAAAAAACCCCAAATAATTGTTCTCATGCCAGTCATGATTTTACATACCTTTATATTAATCTCCATCCTCCGCTCATGCTCAGAACCTCTTTCCAAAGCTGAAGACTTTATTTAATAACCTCCCACCATGGAAACCACTCCAAACCTCTGACCAAACTAGCTGCCTGCTTTTGTGCTTCTTCCTTAATATGCTATATCTTTCGGGAAATGATCCCAAGAACACTCTGAAGCTGTGCTAATCAATAGTTTGATCATTTCCTTGACTGTGTCATGGCCTGAAGAAACAAAATAAACCGGAGCCTTACACAGTTATGGCACCTGATGGCTGTCCGAGTCAAAATACTCCATGAACAATGTAGGTGCTTATGCTGGAATCAAGATAATCTGTTGCTATATGCTATAATCTGTACAACTGATAACAGTAAAAGACAGTGCTTGCTTTTGCAAAGAAAGGCACAGTGATTTCACTGAGCTGGCTGCTTGGATCAATCATTTCTTTAAAAAGCAGCACAAAACAACAAAAGCAATCTCAAGTAACTCAGATGGACATTTCCAATTAGCTTTCCTGAGCTGCCACTGATTAAGCAGAACGTTTGTGAAAGAAGAAATGCCTTCTGCACAGGGTTCAACAGTGTCTTTACGGTGGACAGTAGGATGCTGTCAGCTCACTGGGCACCAGCCTGTGCATAGGAGACGAGAAGGGTTTTCTCTCCCAAGCCAGCCCCAGAGCTGGCTCCAGAGCCTGTCCCTTCTTCCATCCCCCTCCTAGCTGAGAAACAAACCTTCTATCATCTAAATAGACATTGACATTATGAGTTTATTAAACTTCCATGGTAAGCACAGAGTAAAGACATTATGAAACTATTTCCTGTTTTCTACTTTGGGCATTTTGTACACGGTTTCAGTTACCCTTTTAGTGACTTCCTCCTCTTCCCCCCCCCCCCCCCATGGGTTTTTCTACAGGAATGGGCTGACAGACAGGTATACACTGGGATTTATCTTAAGCACTAAAATTATCCGAGGTAAGCTAGCAGAAGTAATGCATGAAAATAGTCTCAGCCTGGTTTTAAAGAAATTAGATTTGAAATTAAGAACATGAAAATTTGAGTTTCCTTAATATAACTTAAAAATACTTTTATTATACTTATCACCAAAATATCTAAATGTAAATTGAGTTTTAATTATATCCTTCGGCCATGACTTAGAATACAGATCCTTAGTTACTTCGTCCACTGGTGGTTTCTTCTTAGCAATTTCCTTTATTCCACTTGAAGGAATGAATTTATACAACTTGGACAACAGCTGAATGCTCCAGCTTCAGGGCAAGAAAAGTAACTTTTGGAAAGAAACCAAACAGAGGAATCTTGATGGTGATAAAGTAATAGTTCTAATGCTCTAAATGCAAATGCAAACAGGGTTCAGGAAGGATGCACCATTTCTAAAGTTAATTGCAAACAGCAGCCTTAGAAGGTATAGAGGACTACAGAGCTCTATTTTCTGTAGTAGAGTACAATAATGCAGCGATGAGACACTGATTTCTGGTTTCAGAAATTAATGCCTTTTAATTAACATCCTATGGGGTTTTTGGAGAACAAAATGGAACAGACAACTTAAAACACCCAGAAGAAATTGGTCATCAGTTAATTCAAAAAGACCCGATCATCAAATGTATGACATTTTCCCCTGATAAGCCTAAAAATATTTCCTGGGAATGTGTTAACAATGGACATTTCCAGTGTTAAGCACCAATTGCTACATCTAGTGGCTGTTAGTGTCTTAGGTCACGCCTTGCAAATTCCAGGGTTATTAATGCATTTGTGATTTATTAGAAACGGTGTCTGGAACACTTACTCATTCTTGGTTGCATCTGAATGAAAAAGGAAAAAAATAAAGGATTACAGAGCAATGTCAGTGAACCTTGGTTTGGCAAATGAAAAATGTTATTAGTAATTTGGCAAAGTAAGACAAGTTAAATGATGAATAAAGTTCTGCTTAAAAATGACTAGGAATTAGCAACTTTGTTTATATCCCGCATCACAAGTTTGGAAAGTTATTTAGGCAAATAAGCTAGAAAGGAAGAGAATTAAAGATGAAAGAAACACAAAACCCCCACAAATATAAAGGTAAGATTGACCCAATTACCACTATCATGCAGAACAGACACATAAAACTACTGATACCTTAAAAAAGAAAAAGCCCCAACACATCCCTGATCCCATCTCAAAGGGACACCTTGGCGATGGTTATTCTGGAGCAGGTTTATTGTTGGGCTGTTACACATCCTGACTTACCATCAAGGCAGCAAATATCTGCTGCTGTTGTAGTATTTTGCAAGCTTTAGAGTGATAATCAAAGAAATCAAAATTATTAATTATAGGAAAGAAGAGATGTACAGTTCATCTTTTGTCTTCCACAGCTCGTGCTATGTGCTGTAAAGTAGAATTCCCACCAATGCCCCTCTTGTGTATAGTTTCCCAAACATGACAGAAAAGTCTCTTTCAAAAAGAAGAAATGTAAAACATTAGGTTACAAAATAAAGAGGAATTGCCTTTTGATCTTTTCCCTCTAGAGGCAGCAGACTTCAGTATATATAAAATCTAAATATTTTCCTAACTCAGTTCTCCAACTGCTAACAAAGGAAGTTCCTGAGCTGCTTTTTTATTCCCCTTAAGTAATTAATAATTATTTTAAAAGGCTTAGTTAATTATTCAAGTAAATTATGATTAATAGATTGGCCCTGGCTGGTAAAGCAAGGTGGGGGGGAAAAAAAAAAATGCATGTTTTAACAGCAAGAAATTATTACAGTTAATCCTGAATTTGCACTCAATACCCCCTTTTTGAAGTTTCAAGTTTTTTCTGCTATTCTATCTGGCAGTTTGCTATTCAACCCCATGGGCAGACAAAACTTACATTTAGGATTTCTACCTATATAAAGAACTGTACATCACCATCATGACTGCCCTGCAGTTTATGCATTTAGACTATGCCTCCCCAAGAAATAACACACTCACTTAATAGTTCTCTATTTAAAGATGATTAAGACATAATATTAGATCTCGCACCTCTGACAACACTGATTTTTAGAGGCTCTCACCCAGTTTTAAGCAAAAACGTTATAAAGATGGAAAGGAAGAATCCCTACCAGTGTCCTCCACTGAAGATACAGAGCACCTGCACAAAGCAAAAATCATGAACTGACCTATTCTCTTACCCAAGAGAAAACCCAGGGTAACTGAAATTAATACGCTTGTAGGCTGCAAGAAGATCCTCTCTGATGTACTGTTCTACCTACCAAAAAAAAAAATAAATCAAAAAGTACTTTTAAAAGCAAACAATCAGTGCCATTGGTTTGAGGCAGATTGGCAGCCTCTGAAGAAGTTGAAAAATGAAAAACATTAGGGACATAATTCAGAAGCTGCCCATAGTTTTCTCTGAAATATTAATACATTTCTCTCAAAAAACCCCCCAAACAACTTACAGCAGTATTTCTCAAACTGAGGTTCTGCTTCCCCTGGGAATTTTGAAAGGCTGAAAGCAGTAGCAAGAAACCATTTGGTAGTTTCCTTTTTGCTACAAAGGAAACTTAAAAATAAAAGTTTTGTGAAACGTTAAAAACAAAGTTTAAACCAGGCTGATGTATGGCTGGCAGCAGCTCAGTTCCTCTTGACTATCAGAATAAGCACTCATATCCACAGCTAACTACTGAATCCATCCCTTATTTCACAACTGTGAAGGAACTCGGCTAATTCCAGCAATTAAATCTAGTTATGATTTTGCTGGCTTTTTCCTGGGGTGTGTATTTCAAAAATATAATTGAACTTATCAATGGGAAACTCACACCCATCAGCTGAGAAACACATTGAAGA